TAAGAGTCCACTCCTCCCCAAACCCCTCCAACGAGTTCTTTCTTATCGATGATCTCTCGCCGTCGATCTCACAATTGGATCTTATGGGACCAAACTTAGATTTGCTCCAAACTCTGTTCCACACTGATCTTTTGAACAAATGAAATTAGAATAATGTTTGAGAGCCACAATTTGTGTGGCTCAAATGACTCAAAATTGCCAAAACGACGTCGTTTTGACATGTTTTGTGCTCAAAACGACGTCGTTTTGACAGTTTTGAGCCATTTGAGCCACAAAAATTGTGGCCCTCTACCATTGCCCATGAAATTAATCTAGTTAGACCTTGCTAAATTACTGTATCTAGTTTGGCCCTACATTGCCATTTTTTTTTTCCCTATACGTTTGGAAGTTCAGTACGGAAAAAACGTTGAACAAAAAAACGTAGGGAGCTCATCATTATTATTTTTTTTTGCGTGTTTAAAAAAAACTCTTCATTACAAGGCCAACCTCTTTGGAGCTGTGAATCTCTTATGAACTAATATTGTGATACTCCATTTGTCTCCCAATATTGGGTCACCAAGAAAAGTTTCACTCATCTCTTTGATATATCAGGGGAGGTTTATGTAATTTATTGTTTAAAAATTATTTTAAGAATGAGTAAATTACAGTCTCTTCACTTATGGTTTGGAAAAAATACAATTAGTTTTATACTTTTGACATAACTACACCAACAACCTTAAAGATTTTAATTTATATAATTATTAGATAATTTTTCATTAATAATTCGGTAGTCATATGAATGATAAAAATTATGTTGCCATATCTTACTTATTAAAATATATATATTTATCTTTGTTTATTTCAATGTTATTTAGTTTCAATCGATTTAGTGTTATTAAAAGAGATATTAGTATATAAAAGTGTGGGATCAATTTATTTAATTATTTTTAATTTAAAGGAGGTGAAAGTCACTTGAATGATTGTAATTATTTTTTAGGAAATTACACATCAGTGGGATTAGAAAAAATATTTAGGCCAAGTTTGGCAACACCAAAATAATCCATCTTTTTATCTTTTTTCCATCACATCACCTCTCTACTTTTTTGTACATCTTTTCGTAAAAAGACAAAAAATGCACTTATTTAGGTCATCCCAAACAACTCCTTACAAAACAATAAAAAAAATACTATGATTTTAACTATTAATATTTATCAGTTTTTTATAAATATTTTTTTCTAATTCCCACTCATGTGTAATTTTCCCATTATTTTTTCTCCAAGACTTAGAGTAGGAAGGCTCTATTTGCACCTCAAAAATTAGGTTAGACACCCCATTTTAATGAAATATTTTTGTTACTATTACATTTTCTATTTAAAATGACGAAAAAGTACTTGATATTGAAAAAAGTACAAATCAAAGTGTT